ATACAATTTTTATGTTACACATATATAGCACACATTATATAATTTATGTCATGTATTACTTATATATAATTTTATATTTAATATATACATATATGTATAGTTATTACATATATGTAATACAAAATTATAACATTTTTTGTATTTAATGTATGATATATACATATGTTACATATATTACATATATGTAATAATATATATACACACACACACATATATATATATATTTTTCCCAGGTCTCTGTATTGGCTTTTGGGGATGCTGAAAAGAGAAATATGGTTTCTATGTAATTCAATATGGGGGTCATGTAAATGATGGCAGCTATGAAAAGATTACGCTGCCCTATTGCTATTAGGAAACAGTTGTGTCCTATATATAACACACAGGGAAGGCAATAGAGGAATTTCATATGGTTACATGATTGATGTGAGTTTTTGGAACACAATTGCGAGAAGTGACAAAGGAAGAGCCATAGAGGTGACCATCATGGCACACACTGGTGATATCTTGGAGAGGGGGTGATGGGAATAAACACATAAGAGCCTCTCAAAATTTGTGTCCAAAAAGCCCTTTTATTTTCTCCCCTGGATTCTAAAACCTAAACATTTTTCCTGCCAAGATGCCTTGATTAAGCAGTAAGAAATTCATTGTAGCTTTAAACAAATTTGCTTAAAGGAAAGTATATATGAAAACACTGCAGAACTATAGTATTAAGGAAACCGTGCTGCCACTTAGAATTTTCAGATTTCCAGCTAAAATTATTAAACTTGACATTTTATTTAGCAGGTGCGGGCTTATATTAGGTAAATGCACAATTCTCTTCCAGCTTTCTGAAGTATTAAAAATGACACCATAGCTTTTCCTGAGGACCCCTAGAGCTCAGCAGTCCTTGGCTAGAAACTACCTCTGATGCACACAGAGGTTGCACAGAAAAATAATGGGAAAAGACATACAGTGCCGTGCTTCTCCTTCAGGAGAACACAGGCCCACCGACAATCCATCATGCAGCCCATGCCTGCCCTCAGGGAGCTTCTGAGGGGAAGGCCATGGTGGGCTTTGACTTTTGGCCACTGATGTACTCACATTCTTAACTCTGGATTTGGCCACATTCCTGCACCTTTATCCCTGTGTTATATTCATACTCTATTTCATATCTGGTGTTTTTCCATTATAATTTCTTCACTAGTACCTTTTCACTTTCTACCACCATCTCACACCTTTAGCTTAAGGGCAGCCTCTCCTCTCCCCAACACGAGGGCTGCTTCCTTTTCCTCTGTTGAGCCCTATTGAGTGCTGCATGTTAACAACCTCATTTATTATTATTATTATTGTTATTATTTGAGATGGAGTCTCACTCTGCCACCCAGGCTGGAGTGCAGTGGTGCGATCTCGACTCACTGCAAGCTCTGCCTCCCAGGTTCACGCCATTCTCTTGCCTCAGCCTCCCAAGTAGCTGGGACTACAGGCGCCACCACCATGCCCGGCTAATTTTTTTGTTTTTTGAATTTTTAGTAGAGACGGGGTTTCACCGTGTTAGCAAGGATGGTCTCGATCTCCTGACCTGGTGATCTGCCCACCTCGGCCTCCCAAAGTGCTGGGATTACAGGCGTGAGCCACTGCACCTGGGCAATACCCCCATTTTAGAGGTAACTGCCACTGGCTTTTATTATTATTGAAAAAAATCTATGAACCAACTTTTATATATTAACACAGTTAAAAACATATCGATACTAAAAGACATTAAAGTCACTAAAATGTTGCTATGCTAAGCCTGTTATGTAGGCGTCTGAGGAGGATCATCACTCCAAGAAGATCATTGAGAAATGGCACCTTGAGTGGTGTTTGCCATCATGCAGCAAGGCTGTAACTCCCATGGCTCTGATTCGATCCTCTGGGTTCTGAGAGGAAACAAAGAACTAATCTGGATAGTTTTAATGACTGGGTTGCTGCATTTACTGCTATTCCTCAGAAACTGTCCTTCATTCTAACAGTTACTTGGTGAATATGATGATGCCTTTGTTATCTACAACATCATTATTTATAAACAAATAATTCATAGTCCTATGAATCTCAACAGTATGCATGACTCATGTTTGGCCTTTATATAGTTTTAGTTTGAATCAATACAGTTTAGAGGTTAAGAGTGTGGGCTTTTGGTCCAAACTGCCTAGGTTCAAATTCTAGCTCTGACATTTGTTGGCTGTGCAACATTGACCAAGTTACTTAATCTCTCTGTGTCTTAGTTTCCTCATCTGTAAGATGGACATAATAATAATACCTGCATTGAATGGGCTGTTTTGAAAAATAGGTGAAAACATAAAACACTTGATACTGAGCAAGGATTCAACCAATGTCACCATAGCTATGAGAATCTACAGACTGGCAGAAATGGTAAAAGAAGCAAAAAGTTTGAATGGAGCAAAGATGGAATTTGGAATGCATAGGGCTTTCTGAAACGTGAAACATTAAGAAAATCAAACACTTTTTTTGAACATTTCCTCCACTCTACTCTCTATCTGGGAATAGTAAAAATAGAGCATGTAAGTTTAAATCTTAAGGACTGGATTTGTACATGGACAACTGAAACAAATATTTAGGGTAACAATTTTACTGTTTTTTAAAAGAATCTGTAAAAGACAGTCTAAAGTTTGAGGTATCCACATTACTATGCATATATATGAAAGTGCACTCACGTGAATGTGTGTGTTCTTAAAAATATGCAAATGAGCCCTACCTTAAAGAACAAGATCACTGAAAATAAGAAAAATCAGGGGCATAAAAAATGACACAGCTGTTAAAAACTAGTGAAAACACAAAACATAATCATACAACAATGAGAGAAAGTTAACCAGGAACACTTTAACTTAGTTTAATAATATTTACTCTAATGAATTTCAGGTTCAATGAGTTTCAAGTATGAAATTAATAGACGAATTTAATAGTTACGTAGTTTCAGTCCAACCATGAATAAAGAACAGTGTAAAAAGTACTAACAAAAATGGAATTGCTGTGTTATGATTGGAGTTTTCAATGCCCAAATACCCAGAGTATATGGTCCAAATTGTAGGCTAGTGCAATTGGATAACCCATTCTGATATACAGACTTTCCAGAAACACAAAGCTTCACTAATATCTAGCAAGTGATTAAAAGCCACTTTTATAAATAATGACATTTACTCAAAGTGAAGAGCCATATAGTTTATGAAAACTTTATAGTACAGGAAGAATTATTGTTGGTTTTTTTACTTCAGGTCAGATATGAAATGCCTATTGTGACCATTAGATATATAGATGACAACAAATGTAAGTAGGCTACGCATATACGTGTATATAAAAATAAGTTAAAATGTTGAAAAAATTAACACTGCAAAATATCCGTAGGTTTGAATTCATAATCCTGAAAAAATTGCTACATACACATTTATTTTGTTGCTTTCCAGCAGAAAAATTATTTTACAAATGCAGGCCGGAGCTATATGGTTATTTAAAAGCATATGGAACCTGGCGGTAGCACTAGCTAGAAATAAATTGGATATTTTAAATTTTATCTATAGAATACATATTGTAACGTACTCTCTGAGGATAGTACATATCTGTGCATAATAAACACGGCATGAAGGAAAGGCTACAGCTAAATACCAGATTTGTAAAGCATGGACTAAAGTGATGCTACAGCAGTAGATTTTATTGGTCATGTCTAATTACAATTTTGAACTCACCTATTAGATATTTTTTCTGCAACTAGAAGCCACACAAAGTATTTTCATTGATGGCACAAAGGGACGTCCCAACTCTTATTTGAAGAACCTATCACTGCTGCCACAGAGTGAAAAGACATGGAAGAAATCATCTCCAGCAGAGCCGGGAAGATGCCCATTTGCCTGGGTAGCTGTAGGATGGTAAAGAACTCAAAACCTTTCTTGGTATGCTCTGAGTGGGAATCTTCATAACAATGTTTTATTTTTTTTTCCCCTTATTGATAGCCTCTGTTAAAAGCATAGGCTTTAAAGATAAGAGTGATACAATGAAATGCCTAACCTGATCATGAGATAGATTAAAAAAAACTTAAATAGGTTATACTTTTTGCTTTGTTAAAAATAGAGAGCTTTGGAAAATTCTGAACATGGAGGGCCTGCTTATAATTCCGAATAGAAAGTTTAAGAGCCATGGTTCTGTCAAAGTTATAACAGCTGTGGTTCTGTCAACATTCTAACAGTTGGGTAGAGTTTGGTAGTTAACATCTCAACTATTCTCTCAGTGTTGGGGAGGGTGATACAAGAACATTCCACCCATTGTCCCACTCTCTTGCGAGCTCTTCTTCTCAAAGAGTCTGTACTCTTTGATAGAGCCAAATATTCAAGCCAAATATCCTCCATGCCACAGAAACTATGGGAATGATTGACTATACCTGTAATCCTCCTGCCATTAAGAACATAGCATTCGCCTATTTCTAGTTTCATTTTTTGGGGTGTACTTTTCACCATGATGACATCCTGTCTGTTTTCATACATAACTAGGCCCACATTTCATCATTTATTCTACTCTGTTTCTTATACTCACTATGGGCACCCAGACTAAATTCTCCTTTAGTGTCTAGAGACCAGGCAGGTTGATTGTAATGTTTTTATGATGATGATAAAGGGTATTACATATAATTATGCAAAATGGCAATATGGCCTTGAGGTATCTCATTTCCAAACAACCTTCATTTAATGGCAGAAGGAGAACAGTCTCCAAATCCAATTGACCATACTCTGCCCATCTTACTGTTATTAAAAAATAATAAAATGATTCCTAGGATATTTACAGAGTAACAGAAAGTTTCCCTTGTTAGTATTAGATAGAAGTTAAACGTAACACCATTTTACCACCTTGGATAGCCTTAACTTATTAAATTTTATTTTTACTTTGAAGCTCAAACTTTTAATATTGCCTATAAGTAAATGGTTTGCCCCTGGTTTTTTTTGCATTTTTTTTTTTAAAAACTCCCATATGTTACTTACTTGTTTAAGCTTCTTTAGGTCTTCATCAAGTTCTAAGTTGTCCAAAATAACAGCAACAAACAAACTCAGGAGGATCTATAAAATGGTGAAATAACAATGCACATGCCATAAGTATCAAAATGTTACATATATAATATAGCAACCTAAAATATATTGAATATAGAATTCATTAAATGAAAGATAAACATGCAGTTATGAACCATTGCATAGACATTTCAAGGTATTTATCACAAATACATGAAATGCATATGTTCATTGAAATAATATAAAATGCTAATTTGCTTTATGAAGCTAACTTACTTAAAAAGGAAATTAAGATTTTTTGGAACTCAACAATCCCACTTCTGAGATTATTTTCTAAAAAAGTGATCTGAACTATTGATGAAAAGCTTAATATACACAGGTGCTTATTAGAGGGTCGTTTGTAATAAGGAAATATTAGAAATAACATCCAACCGTGCATGAATAGTCAATACAGTTATAGAGATTTATGTGATAAGATGCATGCAGCCATTATAAATTCCCATTGTGGTAGCTACTCTGCAAGATAGCCTCTAGTGTTGTTCTAGACTCCTGGTTCATGCCTTTGTGTAGTCACCTTCCACACTAAATATGGCTGGCCTGTGTCATCAGCAGGCTGCAGAAATGATTGTGTGTGACTTATGAGGCTAGGCAATAAAAGACACTGTGTCTTTACCCTTGGTCTCTCCTAGATCACCTGCTCTGATGGAAGTAGGTGCTATGTTGTGAGGATGCTCAAGCAGCCCTTTGGAGAGGTCCACGTGGTGAGGAACTGAGGCCTCCTGCCAACAGCCACTGGAGTGACCCATTTTGGAAACAGGCACTCCAGTCCTAGTGAAACTTCAAGGTGACTGCAGCTGTAGGCAACATCTCAACTGCAACCTCTTAACACTTTGCACTAGAAACACCCAGCTAAGCCTGTCTCAGATTCCCAAATTTAAGAAACTCATTGAGATAATAAACATCTATTTACTGGTAGGCTTCTAATGTGTGGGTAATTTATTACATAGCAATAGATAACTAATACACTAGCGAATTTTTTTTTAACATAGTCGTTTCCATTTATTTTTATTTTTTAAATTATACTTTAAGTTCTAGGGTACATGTGCACAACATGCAGGTTTGTTACATATGTATATATGTGCCATATTACATATTACATATGTATATACTGCACCCATTAACTCGTCATTTACATTATGTGTATCTCCTAATGCTATCCCTCCTCCCTCCCCTACCCCACAACAGGCCCCGGTGTGTGATGTTCCCCTTCCTGTGTCCAAGTGTTCTCATTGTTCAATCCCCACCTATGAGTGAGAACATGCATTGTTTGGTTTTCTGTTCTTGAGATAGTTTGCTCAGAATGATGGTTTCCGGCCACATTCATGTCCCTACAAAGCACATGAACTCATCCTTTTCTACGGCTACATAGTATTCCATGATGTATATGTGCCACATTTTCTTAATCCAGTCTGTCACTGATGGACATTTGGGTTGGTTCCAAGTCTTTGCTATTTTGAGTAGTGCCACAATAAACACACGTGTGCATGTGTCTTTATAGCAGCATGATTTATAATCCTTTGGGTATATATCCAGTAATGGGATGGCTGGGTCAAATGGTATTTCTAGTTCTAGATCCTTGAGGAATCACCACACTGTCTTCCACAATGGTTAAACTAGTTTACAGTCCCACCAACAGTGTAAAAGTGTTCCTGTTTCTCCACATCCTCTCCAGCACCTGTTGTTTCCTGACTTTTTAATGATCTCCATTCTAACTGGTGTGAGATGGTATCTCATTGTGGTTTTGATTTGTATTTTTCTGATGGCTAGTGATGATGAGCATTTTTTCATGTGTCTGTTGGCTGCATAAATGTCTTCTTTTGAGACGTGTCTGTTCATATCCTTTGCCCGCTTTTTGATGGGGTTGTTTTTTTCTTGTAAATGTGTTTGAGTTATTTGCAGGTTCTGGATATTAGCCCTTTGTCAGATGAGTAGATTGCAAAAATTTTCTCCCATTCTGTAGGTTGCCTGTTCACTCTGCTGGTAGTTTCTTTTGCTGTGCAGAAGCTCTTTAGTTTAATTAGATCCCATTTGTCAATTTTGGCTTTTGTTGCCATTGTTTTTGGTGTTTCAGACATGAAGTCCTTGCCCATGCCTATGTCCTGAATGGTATTGCCTAGGTTTTCTTCTAGGGTTTTTAGGTTTTAGGTCTAACATTTAAGTCTCGAATCCATCTTGAATTAATTTTTGTATAAGGTGTAATGAAGGGATCCAGTTTCAGCTTTCTACATATGGCTAGCCAGTTTTCCCAGCACCATTTATTAAATAGGGAATCCTTTCCCCATTTCTTGTTTTTGTCAGGTTTGTCAAAGATCAGATGGCTCTAGATGTGTGGTATTATGTCTGAGGGCTCTATTCTGTTCCATTGGTCTATATATCTGTTTTGGTACCAGTACCATGCTGTTTTGGTTTCTGCAGCCTTGTAGTGTAGTTTGAAGTCAGGTAGCGTGATGCCTCCAGTTTTGTTCTTTTGGTTTGGGATTGTCTTGGCAATGCATGCTTTTTTTTGGTTCCGTATGAACTTTAGTTTTTTTCCTATTCTGTGAAGAAAGTCATTGGTAGCTTAATGGGAGTGGCATTGAATCTATAAATTACCTTTTTTCACGATATTGATTCATTCTTCCTATCCATGAGCATGGAATGTTCTTCCATTTGTTTCACGATATTAATTCATTCTTCCTATATTTTTTCATGATATTGATTCATTCTTCCTATCCATGAGCATGGAATGTTCTTCCATTTGTTTGTGTCCTCCTTTATTTCATTGAGCCGTGGTTTTTAGTTCTCCTTGAAGAGGTCATTCACATCCCTTGTAAGTTGTATTCCTAGGTATTTTCTTCTATTAGAAGGAATTTTTATGGTGTTGAAAACACTTACATTATAATAGTAAATAAGAGTATATAAATGGTAGAAGCATAACTATGCATATAATGGAGTAATAGAGAAAATGCTTGAAGGAGGTACTTTAGAATTATTAATGGTACTTGCTTTTGTGTATTGGAGTAATACATTTTTTCCTTTTTCTAAAAATTTTATGATTTTCTGATTTTTAAAAAATGTATGCTTCTTTTAGAACAGGTAAATAAAACAACAAAATAGTATAATTTTAAAAAATATTTTACTTTCTAGTCCCTCTTCAACTTTGAATTTTCTAAAGTCCCACATTCACTTGATCATCTTTTTCATTTCTAACTTATATTTTTCATTTCAGTTATCTTCTTAATGAATTATTCTCATTTGTTAATATTAGGTGGTTAAGCATGAAGGTCAGAAAGTGGAGATAATTCAGCCAGTGCTAGAGAAGTTATGCAGAAGTTAATGGCTAGCTCTTTTTCAATTTTAATGAGTATATCAACATGATTAAATTGTGATGGGACATGCCTGGCTTGGGACAAATGCCAGCACCCTTCTTTTCAACAGCCATGCCCTTTGGAGTCTTATCAGAGCTTGAAGAAGATACAGAATGATCTAGACTGGAGGGTTTTTATTAACATCACCATGACTAGTACACCACTGGTAACTGGGCATCAGGCTTATTCTGAACTAGACATGATTCCAAACTGGACATTTTAAAGTTCACTCCATGTTCAGCCCATTTCCCAAAACCTTGATGACAGAAAGTAATATCAGAGGCAGAGTCTACCTTCCCTTGCCTTGATTTCTCACGCCGAATTCTGAGATGTTCACCTGCTGGTTTCCTTCTGCAGAAGGGGATATCTTATACCCTTTCTTTCACTCCTGCGCACTGGAGCAGGCATTGCTCCGTCCTAATTTAATCGGGTTTCCTATCTCTCTAGTGAAAGTGCAAACACGAATCTATAAAAAGGGAGGTCGGAAGGGATCCTGTTCGCCTCCCTTTTCTTAGAGCATTTCCTTTACAAGACTTGGAATTGCAAATTCTTTCCCTTTCCGTTTGAGATGTATATAAATACTTTTAAAAGCCAAATAAGCTTCTCACCAGTTCTACAACCTAAAAGAATGTTTTCCTTGAGGGCTGTCTCCTTGAAGTAACGTAAACATCAAGGAAGACAGAGCCTCCATCTCCCCTTCTTCATGGAGGGTGGGAGTTTAGACAGCTGGCTCCAAGTTGTAAACTTACCTACTTGTCACAGAAATATGAGAAGTTTTAATTTTCCTTTGGATAAAGGCAATCAGCTCCCACAGATGGCCACCCCAGTTACCAGGTGAATTTAGGATAAACTATATTTAACAAGTGGTGCTGTCAAGTCTTCTTACTTGAGGACTAGTTATTTCTATTTTGAGAACACGTATGGAAAGTGGTGATATAAAAGAGGGAGGTATTTTCTGCCTCTGTGATCTCTTTAACAGATTGCCAGTGATGTGCATTGCAGCCTGTGTTAGTGCTTATTCAATAATAAAACTGGGCTTTCTCTCCTCTACCTTTAAGGAGAGGTTTCATGGGTTGGCAGATTTCATTTTTAATTATATCCCCCAAACCGGACAGATGGCAGGCTACTTAAGGACGGCAAGGCTATGTTATTCGATTAAATTCGACAAACAGTTGATTGGACTCCATGGATGTGTGAGGCACTGCCTGGTCAGGAACATAAATACGATATTGCACTCACTGCAATGATGTTTATCATTGAATTAAGCAAACATAGAAGAGAGCACTGTGCTTGGAGTCAGAGAGCTCAGGTAGCAAACAGGCTCTGCCAGCTATAAGCCACGTGGCAACTGCTGGCCCACAGTGAGTTCTGGTGCCCTCGTTTGTAAAATATTTAATAATAGCTCAACAAATTGCAGGTTTTTCTTTTCATTTAATTCTCCTCGAGCAACCCTGACGTGTAGTATAGCTATACAATGTCTGAAAATATACAGACACAAAATTAGTTATGCAAAGCTAAAATAAATGTCTTGGTTTTTCTACAAACGAGTTGAATTTGGTGCACAATCCCTCCATTTCTGTTGGTGGCTGGAAACATCATCTTGCTACATCAATTCAATTCAGTCCTTTCAAGCTCAGTTACATT